CAAAAAAAAAAAAAAAAAAGAAAAAGAAAAAGAAAAGAAATCATTGTAGATCATACCAGTAAGCAATAATTTATTTCTCTTTTTTTGTGGTTTTTACAAATTAGAAAAAGTCCCCCCAAATAAACACATACTTTCAACTGAACATCAATGATTAAAAAAAAAGCTAGACTTCTCCCCATATCTGGTTTTAACCAAAAGAACATAGAAACTGATTTTCTCTATCTCAGTCACATACAAAGGCTGTTATTGTTCCTACAAGGACTTTTTGAACTCTAACTATAAAGATACAAAATGGGAGTCACAGCAAGACTTCTGGCAAGTATAAAGATTCAGGGCAAATAGAAGGGAAAAATTAAACCATTTGTTCCTTAGCAGCAGTTACTGATACTTAACTAATTGTATCTAAAATTACCCATGAAAACTGGAAGACAGGCCAGGTGTGGTGGCTCATGCCTATAATCCTAGCATTCTGAGAGGTGGATTCCTTGAGCTCAGGAGTTCAAGACCAGCCTGAGCAAGAGAAAGATCCCATTTCTACTAAGACTAGAAAAATTAGCTGGCATTGTGGTGGGTATCTGTAGTCCCAGCCACTTGGGAGGCTGAGCCCAAGAGTCTGAAGTTGCTGTGAGCTATGGTGATACTATAGCACTCTACCCAGGGTGACAGAGTAAGATTCAAAAAAAAAAAAAAGAACAGAAAACCGGAGAACATTATGCTAAGTGAAATCTGCATTAGGTAGAAGCTTAAAAAAAGTTGATCTCATAGAAGTAAAAAGTAGAACCCCGGTTACTAGAGTCTGGGGAGGATTGGGGGGAAAAGGGAAGAAAGGAAGAGATTTGTTAAAGGATATAAAATTATAGCTATGATAGATAGGAGGGATAAGTTCTAGCATTCTACAGCATTGTAAGATGACTATCATTAACAATAACATGTATTTTCAAATAGTTAGAAGAGAGGATATTGAATGTTCCCAACGCAAATGATAAAGATTTGAGATGAAAAATATGCTAATTATTCTGATCTGATTACTATACATTATATGTATCAAAAACATCACTATGTAGCCATGAAAAAATAAATAGCTGAATGTGAAATCATAAATGTATGTTTGGGAAGTACCCTACAATGGGAAACATCTATGACCAATCTTAAAGAAATGTTACCCCATTCTATTTTCCAACTTCTTATACTGTAAGAGAATTGTCCTATAATAATTAAATATTTCATAAAAATGAGATTAAAAATTATTTAAGAAAAAAAATGTAATTACCTTTGACTTCACTCCAAAGAAGAACTTGAACATTTTGAGGAATGAAAATATAAATTCCTTTTTCAGTCCAAGTCAGCATGCAATGCTCACTGCAAGAGAAAGGAGTCATGAGAGTTTGAGGTTGCTAGGATATAATAGTCTATGATATATTGAATAATCACCTGACTTGCAACATTAGCTATTAAGGTAAAATCAGACCGTACAAAGAAAATACAACAGTGACCCTGCTAATCAAATCCTCACACCTTTCTGTCTATAACAACAGCAAACTAAAAATATAGCATATAATGAAGGCAAATTGGGAAAATTTCAAACACATACATTACATATCTTCTAGAAAAAGAAAAGGCTGGTATCTGGAGGAAAAAAAGCTTAGGGATGACTTACCTCACTTTTGTTAAAGCAGTTACACCTCCCATACTTGATATGACATTTAAAACAAAGACTTAACATCTTAAGGCCAATCACTGCTCTAGTGAGCCACTTTTAGGAACAGCAGTATTTTGCCATCTTTAGTTGTGTCCACAGAATAGGTTGAAAATACCTGGCCAATTATGTGACAAGAGCTTTATTAAGCTGTCTGTCTACAAGTGTATTATCTAACTTTGTAGTAGAATTTCTATATTCATTTACATGTGTATGTGTGTGTGTATGTATACATCAGTACTGATATACACCAAGCTAGAATGCAGCGATGTGACCATGGCTCACCGCAGCCTCAAATTCTTAGGTTCAAACAATCCTCCCACCTTGAGTAGCTAGAACCACATGTGTGCAACATCATGCCCCAGTGACCTTTTTATTTTTTGTACAGATTGGGTCTCACTATGTTGCCCAGGCTGGGTTTTTGTTAGAATATATTAATTTTCTTTTTAATTTCAGGTTAATACGAGGGTACAAACAATTAGGTTACAATGTTTGCATTTGAGTAAGGTCTCTATTGTAACTGTAATTGTTCCGCACCCAGGAGGTGTGCCATATACCCTTACATTGTGCCTATTCAGTGGAAGCACACCCATCTCCTTCCCTCCTCCTCCCTCCTCCCAACTTGAATTAAATTGAGTTTTTCTCTTGTGGGCATGTATTAGTTTGTATACTGGCTTCACATTAGTATTGAATACCAGATATATGCTTTTCCATTCTTGTGATACTTTACTAAGAAGAATATGTTTTAACTCTATCCAGTTATATGAAAGATGTATAAAAGATGTAAAGCCTCTATTTTTTTTATGACTGAATAGTATTCCATTGTATACATATACCATAGTTTATTAATCCATTCAGGGGTTGATGGCTACTTGAGTTGCTTCTATTGGCAGTTGTAAACTGAGCTGCAATAAAAATCTGGTGCAAATGTCCTTAAGATAAATTGATATTTTTTCTTGTGTGTAGATGCTTTCTAATGGGATTGTAGGATCAATGAAAGGTCTATTTTGAGTTCTTTCCAAAGAAGCTGTATTAGGGCTGGTATGGTGACTCATGCTTGTAATCCTAGCACTCTGGGAGGCCGAGGCAGGAGGACTGCTTGAGCTCATGAGTTCAACACCAGCTTGAGGAAGGGCAAGACCCCGTCTCTACTAAAAATAAAAATAGTGACTTGGCACAAGTAGCTCAAGCGGCTACGGCGCCAGCCACATACATCATAGCTGGCAGGTTCGAATCCAGCCCGGGCCCGCCAAACAACTACAACTACAGCCAAAAAATAGCCAGGCATTGTAGCAAGCACCTATAGTCCCAGCTACTTGGGAGGCTGAGGCAAGAGAATCGCTTAAGCCCAAGAGATGGAGGTTGCTGTAAGCTATGACGCCACAGCATTCCACCCAGGGCAGCTTGAGACTCTGTCAAAAAATAAATAAATAAAAATAAAAAAACTAGCCAGGCTCTGTGGCAGGCACTTATAGTCCCAGTTACCCAGAAGGCTGAAACAAGAGGATCACTTGAGCCCAAGAGTTTGAGGTTTCTGTATCTTTTCTATGTTTAGGTACATAAATACTTCTTATTGTGTCACACTTGCTTACAGTATTCAGTACAGTATACCATGCTGTGCTGGTAGCCTAGGTGTAGAGGAGGCCATACCATTCAGCTTTCTGTAAGAACACTCTATGACAGGCTCGGCGCCTATAGCTCAACCGGCTAAGGCGCCAGCCACGTACACCTAAGGTGGCGGGTTCAAATCCCCAGCCCGGACCCACCAAACAACAATGATGGCTGCAACCAAAAAATAGCCGGGTGTTGTGGCGGGCACCTGTAGTCCCAGCTACTTGGGAGGCGGAGGCAGGAGACTTGCTAGAGCCCAGGAGTTGGAGGTTGCTGTGAGCTATGATGCCACAGCACTCTACCCAGGGGGACAGCTTGAGGCTCTGTCTCAAAAAAAAAAAAAAAAAAAAAAAAAACATTCTATGACAGTGGTTCTCAACCTTCCTAATGCCATGACCCTTTAATACAGTTTCTGTGGGTCATGACCCACAGGTTGAGAACTGCTGCTCTATGATGTCTGCACAATGATGAAATTCTCTAACAACACATTTCTCAGAACGTATCCCTGTTAAGTGTTGTATGACTGTAATAATAATACATATGGGGCTGGGTGCCTATAGCTCAGCAGCTAGGGTGCCAGTGACCTACACCAGAACTGGCGGGTTCGAATCTAGCCCAGGCCAGCCAAACAATAACAACTACTGCATGGTACTGTACTGAATACTGTAATAATAGTCAGGCGTTGTGGTGGGCGTCTGTAGTCCCACTTACATGAGACGCTGAGGCAAGAGAATTGCTTAAGCCCAAGAGTTTGAGGTTGCTGTGAGCTGTGATGCCACAGCATAACACCCAGGGTGACAGCTTGAGACTCTGTCTCAAAAAAAAAAAAAAAAATATATATATATATATATATATAAAAATATAAAAATAAGAAAACTAGCAAGGCTTTTTGGCAGGCACTTATAGTCCCAGATACACAGGAAGCTGAAATAAGAGGATCACTTGAGCCCTAGAGTTTGAGGTTGCTGTGAGCTATGATGCCATTTGCACTCCACCCAGGGCAACAGAGTGAGACTCTATCTCAAAAAAGAAAGAAAAAAACCAAAGAGGCTATATTAGTTTGCAATCCCACCAACAATGTAAAAGTATTCCCTTCTCTTCACATGCACACCGGCATCTGCACCTTTGGGACTTTAATTTTTTTTTGCAGTTTTTGTCTGGGGCTGGGTTTGAACCTTCCACCTCTGGTATATGGGGCTGGCACCCTACTCCTTTGAGCCACAGGCACCATCCCCACCTTTGGGACTTTATGATGTGGGCTATTCTTACTGGGGTTAGGTGACACCTTGGGGTGGTTCTGATTTGTATTCCCAGGCTGGTTTTTAACTCCTGGCCTCAAGCACTCCTCCCAAAGTGCTGGGATTACAGATGTAAGCTACTACTCCCAGCCAATATTCATAATACGTATAAGAGAGTGGTGATGATGGAGGAATGATTAAGGTTTGACAGCAGTACCTGGGAACAAATGTCTAATCTAAGCCTGCTGTAGGAGTCAGCAAAGGTTTCAAAGTGGCATTAATTACTGCTTAAGGTGAGGAGTAGGCAGAGCCAGATCACGAAAAGCTTTGTTTACCATGGCAAGAACTGTGACAGAAGCTTTAAATAGATATACTCAAAGGAATAACCATTGATTCTGGAGAACCAGGCATACTGTGGCCTAGCTATCAGAAAACATACTCTTAGGTAAGGGACACCCCCACGTCTGACACATCACGCCATGGTAAATGAATACTGAAGTGCCTATTATGTGCCAGGTGTGGTGGCTAACTCCTATAATCCCAGACCTTTGGGGGGGCCAAGGCAGAAGGATCACTTGAGGCCACGAATTTGAGACCAGACTGGGCAACATAGCAAGACCAGTCTCTACAAAAATAAAAGTTAAAAAAATTAACTGGTGTGGTGGCATGTGCCTGAGGTCCAACCAGTCAGGAGGCTGAAGTGGGAGAACCACTTCAGCCCAGGAATTTGAGGCTACAGTGAATTATGATCATATCCCTGTACTCCAACAACAGAGTAAAATCCTGTCTCTACCAAAAAAAAAATTCTATCATGTGCCAGGCACTAGCCCAAGCATTGAGAATACAACAGTGTGAATAGACACAAAGCCTTCACAGTATTAGGAGTAAGACAGGTATAAATACTGTGTGAATATATAATTATAAACTAATAAGTGCCATAACAGAAGAGTCGTAAAGGAGGAAGAGTTTTTATTTTATTTTATTATTATTTTTCTTTTAGATAGAGTCTTACCATGTCACCCTTGGTAGAGTGCCATGGTGTCACAACTCAGAGCAACCTCAAACTCTTGGGCTTAAGCAATTCTTTTGCCTCAGCCTCCCAAGTAGCTGGGACTACAGGCGCCCGCCACAATGCCCCGCTATGTTTTTTGTTGTTGTTGCAGTTGTCATTGTTGTTTGGCAGGCCTGGGCTGGGTTCAAACCCGCCAGCCCCAGTCTATGTAGCTGGCACCCTAACTGCTGAGATACAGGCACTGAGCTGGAGGAAGTTTTTAATATGCTATATCTAATTATGGGTAAATAAACAGCTGTCTTTCTCCAGTAACTTTCAGGATGACTTATGGGTTTATTAAAGTGTTATAAAGTCTATACTTCACTTTTTTTTTTTTTTTTTGAGACAGAGCCTCAAGCTGTCCCCCTGGGTAGAGTGCTCTGGCTCTATCACAGCTCACAGCAACCTCCGACTCCTGGGCTCAAGCGAGTCTCCTGCCTCTGCCTCCCAAGTAGCTGGGATCATAGGCACCCACCACAACACCCAGCTATTTTTTGGTTGCAGCTATCATTGTTGTTTGGTGGGCCCGGGCTGGATTCGAACCTGCCACCTTAGGTGTATGTGGCTGGCGCCTTAGCCACTTGAGCCACAGGCGCCGAGCCTATACTTCACTTTTAAATCCCTCAACGTAAGCAGTGTGACACAGACAAAATTAGTTTTTATCCATATCGTTAGGGGTAATTGGTTAACATTTCAACTGCTAGTTTAAAAAATACATTCCAAAAGTAGATAGCCCTTAAAAAAACCCAATCAGGAGTCCATGTTCCACTGCACTCTATAATAACCTCTAAATAACATTTTCTGAATCTGTATTAGAGACCTTATTAATTAGCCTAAATCATATTAGAAATAATTTTTCATTGACAAAGTAAGAAGAGTTTAAGACAAGACACACTGACTGGAAATCACACATCAATACTCTCACGCTTGCAGAACAAGGTGTAAGAACTGGCAGTCCCACCAGCTGTCAGCCTTCAGAACGACTCTCCGTAAGGTGCTGTACATAATGGTAGATTCTGTACCTAATCCAACTAGAAGACTGGTGGAACTCTGACATTAGAATATGGCTGAATCTAACTTGAGCAAACCTTTCATGCAAGGTATATGTCAGAGTACCTAAACAGTTGAGAGCTCAAATTTCACTAAGCTTTTAAGAACAAGTCCTGCAAATAATTTTATGCCTACTTGTTAATAGACATTAATCTGTGTGGCAGATTTCAGGCTGGGGCTTGCTTTCATTATTGCATCCCCCTAGGTAGAGAAAGTTATGACAAAACAAGTACTTACAGCTCTCCCCAGCAATTGTAAACTCTTAACGGGAAGTACTTCTGTGATCTTTCCCTTCCTCTTTACATACAGAACATTTCACCTAACAGATACTTCCTAATTTTCCAAAAATAATTTAGTGCAAAAACAAGCTTAAAAAGCTAACTGCCTCTGAACAAGCCACAAAGAGAAAAGGTTATTTTTTTAAGTACAAAGAGAGAAACTTACCTAAGATGCAAGAGTTTGGGGAAAGACAAAGACTGGGAGGATCCAGCTGTAGGATCATACTGAGGTTCTGATCTAGAAAGTAAACAAATCTGTTAAAGACTTAAATACAAAAGTATCAATGTAGGGAAATTCTTGTCTCCAAAACACACTCAAGAGCCTAACTGCATCTGCCCTAATTCAACTCATTCTAATAATGGGAAGGATAATTGATTGAAATTTTTTTGCTTTCTCTGAATCTTTTAATAAAAATTTGACTTCACTCTTGAAACACATAATAAAGGCTTGGTGCCTATAGCTCAAGTGGCTAAAGCGCCAGCCACATATACCAGAGCTGGGGGGTTCAAATCCAGCCCAGACCTGCCAAACAACAATGACAACTACAACCAAAAAATAGCTGGGCATTGTGGCCCATAGTCCCAGCTACTTGGGAGGCAGAGGCAGGAGACTTGCTTGAGCCCAGGAGTTGGAGGTTGCTGTGAGCTGTGATGCCACAGCACTCTACCCAGGGGGACAGCTTGAGGCTCTGTCTCAAAAAACAAAACAAAGCAACAACAACAAAAAAAACACATAATGAAATCTTTAACACATACAGCATGCAAGAGATTTTTAACCTAATCCCTCCATATAGGTCTCTCAACCTATATGCCCACCCAAATCATTACCTTAGAGTAATCACAGGGAGAGGTGGCAACGATAGGAGTTTCTTGAACTGATGTGTGCTTATGACTTCCCCATCAAAGTTCACTTCCCACATCCTGGAGCCAGGACGAGCACAGTATATCAGAGGTTGCTGACCCCCAGAACATCTTTCAGGAAAGAAACAAGCTCCATATTCTCCATCTCTTTCCTTGTTTCCAATTTTCCAAAACTTTTCTCTAGTACCCAGAAAGAGAAAGCATGTTTACGTACAAAAAGGTTAAAAACAATGGCACTACAAATCAGCATGGCTGCAATAATCCTGCCTGCAAAGTCTTCTTTATTCATATTAGCAACATACTGACAAGAACAGAATGGAAAAGTCAAAATGGGTTCTGGCTCTGATTTTCCATTAGCTATTTCTGTGACAGGAAGCAAACCATTTCACCTTAGTACTCAGCTTATGAGTACTAAGAATAAATGGCTCAGAATTAATGTGATGGCCCTTTTAAAAAAAAAAATTTTTTTTTTTTTTTTGAAATAGAGTCTTACTATGTTGCCCTTGGCAGAGTACTGTGGCATCACAGATCATAGCAACCTCAAACTCTTGGGCTGAAGTGATTCTCTTGCTTCAGCCTCCCAAGTAGCTGGGACTACAGGTGCCTGCCACAGTACCCGGCTATTTTTTTGTTACAGTTGCGATGCTCTTGTTTCAGCCTCAGTATACCTCACTACTAGCCTTGTTTCAGCCTCAGTATACCTCACTACTAGCCAGCTACAAATCCTGGCTAGCTTTTCTATTTTTAATAGAGCTAGGGTCTCTCTCTTGTTCAGGCTGGTCTGTAACTCCTGAGCTCGAGGAATTCACTCTTGTCAGCCTCCCAGAGTACAAGCATTACAGACGCAAACCGTCACACCTGGCTACTTTCTACATTTTCAAACAAGTAATATGTGACAGATACAAGGTTAGATATTTTCATTATCTTAATCCTTAAAACTACCTATATGAAGCAAATTCATATCTATCACTGTGGTTAGTCACTAGGAGTCCTAGGTTGTTGTTGTTGTTTTTTTTTAAATGCTGTTTGTGATGAATTCTCTGTGGCACAGAGGTTAAAAATGCTATTTGTTAGGAGGGAATACAGGTTGAAACAAAAAAATCTTTAACTTAAATACATTTTTAAGTTATTGTACTATCCATGTCCTTGAAAACTAAATTCTAGCTAAAAGAAAGTACATGTCTCTAAACATGTTAGTTTTTTTTGCAGTAGATTCTATCGCACGGTCATCCAACTCTAGTTCACCCTGTGAAATGAGTGTTCATTATACAACTCTCTCGTGTATGCTCAAAATTCTCTACAACAAATTTTTAAAAGAAGAAATGGTCTTGAGAAATATGGTTGCTTGCCAGGGTAAGTGAAAAAAAATAAAAACGGGCCAGTGAAATTTCTCTGCAGCAAAGATGGCTGAGGAACTTTGGTAGAGTGATATATAATATTGATTTCAAGCTGTTTCCTATTCTGTTCTAGTCTTTCACAGCTACCTGTAATGTACTTCTTTGCTATCCATTGTACTTTTGGCTCTGCCCTTGAGATTTTTTGGCTTCACTAAGCTCTTAACTCTTCTTCCTCTAATTTTACGCTTTAGTAAAATTCTATTAAATACAAAGCAAATTTTAAAAAAACAACAATGAAACTTGATCAAGGAAGCCTTCCTAATATTCCATACAGAACCAAGCCTTTGGCCTTTTCTCATGGTACATATATCAAGCCTCACCCGCTGGACTGTCTCAGTCTTTTCTACCTCCTCACTAATCTCTAACATCAGCTTACCTACGAGTGTTCCTTACTATTATCCATATAATTGCCTGAGGGTTTGGGGTTAGATAACTTCTGAGTCCCTTCCAGTTCTAAAATTCTGTATTTCTGATGACTCATGGTTGTTCAACATACCTCTCAGTATCACACAAGAAGGATCGAGTAAGTGAAGATATAAGTAGTCTCCCATCCAAATAATCTAATTGGACAACAGAGGAGTCAACTGTTGTTATTGTCTGAACCGGAAACATCACAAAAGCAGTAGCTGCCTAAAAGGGATATGAGAAGGAAGAAATAAAATTTACTTCATTATAACATATAATCTCCTCCTCTTTACCTTTGAAATGAAAATAATTTGGATAACAAATTTTTTTTTTTGAGACAGAGTCTCAAGCTGACACCCTGGGTAGAGCGCTGTAGTATCAACAGCTCACAGCAACCTCAAACTCTTGGGCTTAAGTGATTCTCTTGCCTCAGCCTCCCAAGTAGCTGGGACCACAGGCACTTGCTCCAACGCCCGGCTATTTTTTGGTTGCAGTTGTCATTGTTGTTTGGTAGGCCTGGGCTGGATTCGAACCCACCAGCTCCAGTGTATGTGACTAGAACCCTACCCACTTGAGCTACTGGCACCGAGCCAACAAAAGAAAAATTTTAAATAGGCCAAAATTAAATCTGCTTGTAAAGATATCAAAGTTTTCTTCATTTAAAAGTTTTGTGAAATAGGCTTAGTGCCCATAGCTCAGTGAGTAGGGCACCAGCCACATATACCAAGGCTGATGGGTTTGAGCCCAACCTGGGCCTGTTAAACAATAATGACAACTGCAACCAAAAAATAGCCAGGTGTTGTGGCAGGCTCCTGTAGTCCCAGCTACTCAGGAGGCTGAGGCAAGAGAACCGCTTAAGCCCAAGAGTGTGAGGTTGCTGTGAACTGTGACGCCATGGGACTCTACCAAGGGAGGCATAGGGAGACTCAGTCTCAATAATTTTTAACATTTTAAAATAATATTTAATAAGTAATATTTTAAATAAAATAAATAAAAGTTCTGTGAAATAATCTTATATATAATTGCAGAGGTGAATTCTTAAAGTTCTGTTTGTGGTTATCTAAACATACAAGTTGGAATGATAAAGATAAAGCAAATTTTAGAATATTTGAAAGAATTTTTCACCTATAAATAGTACCCCTCCTTTTAAAAAAAAAGGCAGATTAACTCTATACCATATGTAATGTTTCAACTATATTTTAGACCAAATATAATTATAAATAAAATAATAATTTGACAGGTCATGATGGTCAAACCAGAATATTCTGATGTGTTCATTTTAATGAAGTAATTTAGGGCCAAGTTCAATCACTGACACCTGTGATCCCAGCACTTTCAGATGCCAACACAGGAGATCACTTGAGGCCAGGTGTTCAAGACCAGCCTGAGCAACACAGCAAGACCACATCTCCACAGAAAAGTTTAAATATTAGCCAGGCATGGTGGTGTGTATCTCTACCTCTAGCTACTCAGGAGTCTGAAGCAGGAAGATCACTGAGCTTAGTAGTTAAAGTTATAATGAGCTATGATTGGGCCACTGCCACTCTAACCAGGGTGACAGAAAGAGACCCTGTCTCTTAAAAACAAAAAGGAATTTAGCCAATAGTAGATAGAGCTCTTCTTTTGTGCCAGGACCCTACACAGAAATACACCAGTAAGAGACAAATTTCTGATATTAGGGCCTTAGAGAAACAGGACAGTGAAAAGCTGGTTTGCTGTCTCAGTGACAGACTATAAGTATTCTGTGAGAGTAACCTCAGTCTCAACCCTTCTCTCCAGCAATAATTGAGGAAGGAAGCTGAAGACCTGTACAACAGAGCACAAGCCAGGGGGTGCCTTTAAGATTGCATTCGCAGTAAATTTCTCTTCATCCTGAAAGAAAATATCCTTAGACCCACAAGTTTCTTCTACACAGGGACCAGAAGAGTAGGACCCTTGGCTTGGTGCCATTTCCATGTTTGCATTTTATTCACACAACTAACAGATGACTTTTCTTCTTAATAGCCTTGTAATAAAGAATAGTTTGTTTAAACAAGCCATGCAGTTGAATTAGGGAGTACTGCATTAGATAATGTGTAGGTTATTGGAGTCAGCTCACAGAAGCCATTCTGCCATGGTATCAGGCTAAAATAGGCCACCACATGTACCACATACAAACATGTCTGCTTAAAGTCTCTAAATCTTGGGTCTTGATCAGTCCCAGAAGAAATGCAGTATATGAAATCACATCATCCTTTAATTGATAGTTCTGTAAGACAAAACCAAGACATACACAAAGAACTAATCTAGTTCTCACCTTTGCTTGTTTAGAAGTGTTGAGTTTGATAGCAGAAACTTTCCCCACATGATCACCTACAAAAACTCTAAGAATAGCTGTGTCCCAACAGAGAGCTGTAACTCTTCGGCCTTTATGTTCTGAAGACACATAAATTTGTTCTGGTTTCCCGCGACGCTCTTGATTTAATTCCCAAACAACTACAAGACCTTGACTGTAAGAATTGAGTTACAGAAGCAAATTTTTGGCAATGGTAAAAAAAGGAAAATGGCATCACAGTATCAACCATGTTAAATACATAAAAATATATAAGAACTCTTATTCTTTAGAAAGAAGAAGTAAAAGTCAAGGTATTTATTTCCTTGCCTTAGTCATCAAACCAGCATAATAGCAGAAGTTAAATGTTCTAAATTATTTCTGTTCCCTTTCCCTTTTAAGGCCTTTGAAATGTTGTTACTTCAAATTAGCATTTTCCACAAAGACTCAGATGACCAACCACCTGTTCTGGTGTGTTAACTAATGAGGGGTTTCCAAGCTAAAAATGGGACAGACCCAGGCAAATGAAGATGGTTGGTCACCCTACTAATCATACTTGTCAATTTAAAATGCATTTGGAAGAAAACAGAGTTTTGTTTTTTTTTTTGAGACAGAGCCTCAAGCTGTTCCCCTGGGTAGAGTGCCATGGCGTCACAGCTCACAGCAACCTCAAACTCCTGAGCACAAGCGAGCCTCCTGCCTCAGCCTCCCAAGCAGCTGGGACCACAGGCGCCTGCCACAACGCCTGGCTATTTTTTGGTTGCAGCCATTATTGTTGTTTGGCGGGCCTGGGCTGGATTCGAACCCGCCACCTTAGGTGTATGTGGCTGGCGCCTTAGCCACTTGAGCCACAGGCGCCAAGCCGAAAACAGAGTTTTAAAACATCTTCTCACCTGGTAGCTACAGCAACATAATCATCATCATGTAAACAACAGGCAACCTGAGAAATTGCACCTTCCTGGAGCACAAGGAAAAATATTTTGTAAATCTCAAGTTTTATAATCTTTTATTCCACATGATTGTTTATATTAGAGAAATCCACATTTATAAGACTCCAAACAACATATGACACGCTGCCCTTAATCTTACCCTGTGTGAAAGAAAAAGCCTGTGCTTCCAGCCTTCTTTCTGAATGAGATGGAGTCCTCCTCCCGAACTGCCCAAAGCCAACCATTTCCGAGACACAGCTATGCTCGTGCACTAAAAATATGTGAAAAGACAAGTGTGAAATAATCACAGCAATTTAAACAAACGGACTATCCTCCAAAATAAAGACTGAGGATTTATGCATTAGCTTCTTCCCCTCACTCTATCCATAATGGCACTTACACTTTAATTCTAGAATAATGGAAAATACTGAAGAAGAACATTTTCTTTTTAAACTGTTAAGAATCTCAAAAAGGCTAAATATGCTCAATTGTATAAATGAGAAATTTTCCCTCGACAAAAGCCAGTTGCTAGACCATTTATATTTTGTGTAATTTGGCTAGGTCATTCCAATACAGACCATAATGGAGAAAGCCCCGGTGAGTTACTAAGAGATAAAGCAACCACTTCCAACATTTAAATCGCTTCTGGTCTGTATAATCATCACAAAACACCCACAGGTCAGAGAGCAAGGGAGACTGAAGTGGCATGGTGTCTGCCCACACCCTCCGCCTGCTGATTTCTTTTCTCTTCCACCAGAGAAAGCAGCAGTCATGCTGTGCCTAACACCCTGCGGCAAGTTAGCAAACAACAATGGGATTCCCAATCCTCTTCAACTTTACTGCTTTTTATCAAAGAACTTGTAAAACCTAAACATCCACATTCTCTGTTTCCTCTGCTGCCACATGTAGCCATGTAACTCAATCCCAACTGATAAGCTTGCTGGGGGCTTCTCAGGAAGCTTTACCTTCCCAGGAACAGGGAAAGCCTAAAGAAAAGAAAGCCTTTGCCCTTGGCCCCCTTTCTTGCTTATGGTGTGAACAGGAGATAGGACACATACTGCCTACTCAATGAAAAGCCAATATACAGATGACGTAGAACAGGAAAGATGGAGAACTTGTATCTTCCACGATACATAATATCACGGGGCCACTACACTAAACCCAGAAACACTAACCTCCAATGTGATTATAAACCATTTTTATTGCTTGAGCCCCTAACAGCAAGTCACACTGTAATGTAACTTGTAGCTGAAAAAATTTCTAGTTGATATCAACCCTCACGATTTTTTTTGAGACAGAGGCTCATTTTGTCACCCTGGGTAGAGTGCCATAGCATCATAGCTCACAGCAACCTCAAATTCTTGGGCTCAAGTGATCCTCTTGCCTCAGCTTCCTGAGTAGCTGGGACTAGAGGCGCCTGCCACAACACCTGGCTATTTTTAGGGATGGTGCCTCACTCTTGCTCAGGCTGGTCTCAAACTCCTGAACTCAAGTAATCCACCGCCTCAGCCTCCCAGAGTGCTGGGATTACAGACAAGAGCCACCGTGCCCAGCCAATCCTCACAATTTTTGCTCATATTACTTTGCCTCTCACTTCCTATTCTTCCTTTCCTCAGAGGCCAGAAAGGTGCTTTCAACGGTAGCAAAATGTAAGAATGAAATTATTCTGGAATTGGTTATGAGACATGGTTTTCACCGTGTCATTCCTGGGTTTACTCAAAAGAACTCAGAATTTGAGGGAAATATGTATTTAGTTCTTTCCATAGAGCTAACTTTTGCTTTGCTCTGTGTATCAGAAGTTACGTCACATTGTATATTGAAGTAGTACCCTGAACTCCATAAACACATCAATGTACAAAGTTATGATTTAATAAAAAATAATTATTAAAAAAAAAAAAGTAGTTACATTAAATTTCTTGCTTTGGAGGAGTTGCTGTAACAGCTGCAGTTCATGTTATTCATAACATAATGGAGTTACCAGGCTCAGAAACTGATACTCCAAAAGATGGTGTTTTGACATGCTGAGAGGCCTTAGAAGCTGCCTCAATATCAAAGTCCCTCTAACCTTGTCTCACTTACCCCCTCCCTACAAGCACAGGGAGAACTCTCTGTGAAATTTCCTTATTTGACCAAGAAAGCATCCTTCCAAAGAAAATGCAATTGTCTTAAATCTCCTAAGGATCTTATCAAATAATCAGGAAAGGTCAATCACAGGAGAAGAGACTGGGAGTCATTGCCCTGCCCATACAGACTTTACATCTGTTCTTCTGAGGCCAGCTCCAAGAGATTACCTAGGAGACTTTATCTGCATAAGACAGATTGTTTCTGTGAAACTCCACTCCTCACTTTCCCATATAGTCTGCCTCCCACCTACTATGTCCATGCATTCTCCCTAATGATTTAATGTCACTCACCAAAACTGTCAACATCCCCCATTTTGCCCCTCCTCTATGAAAGAGTATATAAGCTTCTACACCAAGTTATTGGGTAATCATTTTCTTGTGATCCTCTTATGCTATGCACATTTTTAAAATCTGGGGGCTTGGCATGTTGGCTCATGCCTGTAATCCCAGCCCTCTGGGAGGCCAAGTGAGTGGACTGCTTGAGCTCATGAGTTCCAGCCTAAGCCAGGGCAAGACCCTGTCTCTAAAAAATAGCTGGTGTTGTGGCAGGCGCTGGTAGTCCCAGCTACTCGGGAGCCTGAGGCAAAAGGATCGCTTGGGCCCAAGAGTTTGAGGTTGCTATGAGCTATGCTGCCATGGCACTCTACTGGGGTCAAGAAAGTGAGACTCTATCTCAAGAAAAAAAAAATTGTATGCTTTTTCTTCTATTAATGAGCTGATTTTCAGTTAACCTTCAAAGAGTGATGGGGAAATTTTCTCTTAGTCCCTAAAGGGTATACTCATTTATACTACTTTTTTGTTTGTTTGTTTGTTTGTTTGAGACAGAGCCTCAAGTTATCGCCCTGGATAAAGTGCTATGGCATCACAGCTCACAGGAACCTCAAACTCCTGGGCTTAAAGCGGTTCTCTTGCCTTAGCCTCCCAAGTAGCTGGGACTACAGGCGCGTGCCACAACACCTGGCTATATTTTGGTTGTAGTTGTCATTGCCATTTGGCAGACCCAGGCTGGATTCAAACCCGCCAGCTCTGGTGTATGTGGCTAGTGCCTTAGCTGCTTGAGTTACAGGTGTCACCCTAAACTACTTTATTTTCAATTACATATATTGCTTTCAGAGAGAAAACAGCAAGATTACTGAGGAGGAAAAATGAAGCAATCACTGTCATGGTTTCCAGGGGTGGTAAAGAAGAATTCAACAGTCAGTTCAAAAAATAAGAAAGAGCTATGAAAATGCTACTTCTGTGTAATGTGTAGACCTAAAAGGAAGAAGTTGAAGCAAAATTAGTATAGAGAGTTGATTTGGGCCAAGGTTAAAGAGTGCACCCCAGGACACACTTCTAAGTTACCTTGGGGAGTGCTCTGGAGAACAAGAGAAACTCAAGATTTCAGGAGAGGGGGCTGATTATAAATATTGTTTGTCAGGAATTCTCATTGGTTTACAGAAATAATACTGGTTAGCAATGGGCTATGCATTGTTGAACTACAGGGTGTGTGGCTACTTAGTATCAGTCTAGTGCCCACATAGCAAGTGGCTTCAAGCCAGAGCAAGACCCTGTCTCTAAAAAATAGCCGGGTGTTGTGGTGGGCACCTACAGTCCCAGCTACCTGGGAGGCTGAGGCAAGAGGATTGCTTGAGCCCAAGAAGTAATTATTTAGCTCAAGGAAGAATGACATAACTGTTATTTCATTCCAAATGCCTCCCTGCACCTAGCAATTTAAAGGAGCTTATAGTCCTCAGATAAAAATTTTATTTTCTTTTTTCCATAAAGGTATGCCTAAGACAAGTAAGAACACCCAAGATTCCATGAAACATAAAGAAATAGATGGCAAAGGCACATGTAACAGACAGGACACAAAAACATGAGTATATGAATATGAATATGAAACTGATACAAGGATCAGGAAGTTCACCTTTAGACGACTAGAGTCCAGCCGCAGGGCTGACAGTAATGGATCCAGAGACTCAAACTCCGCAAGAACGTGGCTGTAGGATTCTGCTATCACTGGCACAAAAGTCATTTAGCCAGAAAGTGTGAAACTTGAGTGACAGGCACAGAATTCCTCACCTGAAAAATGCACAAAAATTTAAGAAGCTCACCATTCATTCAGCATGCATTAATAAATATATACAGAACATAAGGAAACATGAGAAGGGGACCACAATCCCTACCCTACAAGTGCTTAGCATCATGGTAGAAAGAAAACAAGTACAGGTAACATCTTATGCCACACTGTGCTAATACCATGTCATTCATTCTCTGACTCTAAAATTCCCAGAGTATCATATCCATTCTCAAAGCCCTCCAAATCCTATCCTACTTATTATCTAATTGTGAGTAGGCAAAATGGACACAGCAGGATTTAAAAGGAAAACCGGTCAAGGTAGAACAGCAAGCCCCTTGCTGCATTTCTCTGATTTGAAACTTTTCTTCTGTCTTTAGGAGTTTCTTATTAAAATGTTAACAGTTACTAGCTAATAATTTAACAGTGTGTAATAGAAATAGGCCTCTGGATCTCTCTCTCCAGACTCACAGGATATCAATAAGCATGTTAAATGAATGAATGCACCTACTGAGTAAGAAGTAAGGTGCAGGGCATCTGAGCACAAAGGGCTTTAACAAAAGAGACTAGATAGGAATGAATAGGGATAAGAATACAAGGTAGCAAAGGCCAAAGACCCAATTAAGACTATGAAAACTGATACAAGAGTTCTTACCTATTCAACTACTCTCAAGTGCACATTTCTGCCAAGTTGTACTAATTTTAAGAAAAAAGGAAATATAAATTTAAGAAAATTCTACCTATTAATTAAACGTTCCTCAATCATTTGCTACCTGCCAAATTAAGAATAAAAAGCAGCCAGGGCAGTGGCTCACACCTGTAATCCAGCATAAGTAATATTAGTTCTCAAGAGCAGTTGCTGGGTGCCATCTCCACCTTTATACCTCTACATTAACTCTCCCTGAAATGACTGCTTCTCCTCCAGCTCTTATTATCTAAATCTATCCAGCCTCTAAGATCCCACATAAGCACTAATTCCAGAATTCTCTACGTGGAAGAGGATTCAAAGGTAATTCCACATACACATCCATTTATCTCAGAAATTGGTTTTGCTCTAGGTCCCTGACATTTTCAGGGATGGAATGAAAAAGCACTCCCTCTCATGACCCTGCTCACTCCAATACTTCACAATGCTCACTGATACAAGGTCTTTTTTAATATTGGGCTGAAATCTGATCCCTTAGAGCTCTAACCATTATTCCTAATGGTGGCTTCTACAGTTCAGAGTGCACAGGTTTACTCCTTTCAAAAAAAAACCCTTCACGGCTCGGTGCCTGTGGCTCAAGCGGCTAGGGCACCAGCCACATACACCTAAGGTGGCAGGTTCCAATCCCCAGCCCGGGCCTGCCAAACAACAATGATGGCAACCAAAAAAATGGCCGGGCGTTGTGGCAGGCACCTATGGTCCCAGCTACTTGGGAGGCTGAGGCAGGAGACTCGCTTGAGCCCAGGGAAGGTTGCTGTGAGCTGTGATGCCATGGCACTCTACCCAGGGGGATAGCTTGAGGCTCTGTCTCAAAACAAAAAAACCCTTCAGTATTTTCAAAGCATTATCAAGTCTTCAAAAAATTTTACATTCCCCCTATTTCCACCATTCCTGACATGACAATTCCCAAATTCCTCTCCATTCTTGTCAACTTTCTACAGAGGCCCTTTAGTATGCCAGAAAATGAGGTGCCTTAGAACTGAACATTAGTATTCCTTATATAGTTGGATGAGCCCAGAATAGAATATAAACCCTAACTTCCTCAATCTGTACACTAAATTTCCATATTGCAAGCTTATATGGCATTAGCTATGTTTTTAAAGTGGCAATGTTACCCTGTTTATTCAACAGAGTAGAGTCAACTAAACCCCCCCCCCACAATTTTCACATAATAAAATCTAGCCATTACCTAGATGCAGTAGAATTGAGCTTAAATTGAAAGCCGATATCGGGCAGTACCTGTGGCTCAAAGGAGTAGGGCACCAGCCCCATATGCCAGAGGTGGTGGGTTCAAACCCAGCCCTGGCCAAAAAACAAAAAAGAACTGCGAAAGCTGATATCAAATGCAACAATGGATATAATAAAAAGTATCTATAAATTCACAAGCCTAATACAAACAAGAACAGTAGAATGTTAATAACTGTTCAAGCCGGGTTGTATATACATGAGCGTTCATTTTATCATCCTGTCTACTTTGCCTAAGTTTGAAATTTTCCATAATAAAAAGTTTAAATTACATACTTAAAAAAAAAGTCTGTACAAACCTTCAGTATTTCTAAAATCTGATTTAATCCCATTTTACCCTCTCTCCCTATTCTCCAACTGTATTGGACCATCCTTTGCTCCTCCTTCATTCTATAAACTGATTGTGCCTCCATGGTTTAATATATGACTTTCTAAAATCTTCCCCCATTTAACAAAACCCTATTTTCCTGCAAAGCTGAGTGAAAATGTTACTTCTGTGAAGTCTGTCAGAACTTCAACCTAGCAATAAACTAAGTATACAGAAGTTGTAGACAAATGCTTACCAAAGACAAATCAACTTCTAGGAGGCTGGCTTGCCCAAAGGTCACAGAGCTCCTAAGAAGTGGAGCTAAGAAGGCACATCTCCTGAATCTAGATCTAATCATCTTTCCATTTCTCCGCATGACTTGACGATAACACAAAACAGCAGTGTTTGCTACTCACAAATCAAATGCAAATGGATGTTCTCTTTTGCCCTACTAGGTTCATGGAAGGAAAGGGAGGCGAAAGGCGTAAGAACAAAAACAAATGATGCGAAGGTGAAGTAGTAGATGTCCTCGCGTTCAATAATGGGATCTTTCTATCCGAGAAGTTACGATCAGAAAACAATTCTCCGCCTAAGACAAAGAAATGGCGACTCGCTCATTCATGCAATCATTCATTCAACACTGCCGGAGACACAAAGATGAACAAAATACAGTCCCTGCCCACAAAATCTCGTCTAGCAGAATTACTACCTTTTTAACAGCAGTGACTTTAATATTGTATTCAGATATGTTGCTGAAAACAGCCCCAGTAACCAAGTTGTCAAAGCCAGGCTCACTGACCAGCAACCCGGAGGTCCCCGTCGCGCTCCACCACATCCAGGCCAGCAGCTCCAGCTCACGGTGTAACAAACCTACTACTACCAGGATAAGCGCCCCGCCACTTGCCGGGACCAAAAGCGGAACAAGAACTTCATTTCCCACCTCCCACTCCGCCCCTTCCTGGATTGCGTCATCCAGGAGCGCCAGGGACGCTGGGACAACGCTATTAACGGCACTTCCTCGTCACGTGATGGTTACGCCCCTCCTTGCGCGTGGTCCCTCCCCCTCAGGCTGCGTCGCGATTACGCTCTCTACGGCCTGGAGTTCGAGAGCCGCGGCAGGCTGGAAACACAGCATCGACCGGGACCGGAGGAGCTCTAGGCCAGATGGATGGGCCAGCCAGGATCCCGGGACCTTTCACCGATCGCGGCCGGAGAGAAGAAGAGAAACAGGCGGGAACTGGTGGGGGAGGGAGGGAGGGAACCAGCGGAAGGTGTCATGGCGGCCACGCTCTGCGGTCACGTGTACCCCTGGGCCTCCTAGGTACTTCCGGTCACGTGCCCTCAGACTCCTCGCAGCCAGCGATGGAGGCGAGACCCCCCGGTAACAGAGGCGGTAGCTACTGCTGCGGCCGCTGGGTTTCAGCCTCTTCTCGGCAGCGGCTCTAAGAAGTGCAGCAGAATTCGACCCGACCCAAGCCAGTTACTTACTCCCCGCCCAGAGCTGTAGCTTTCATCTGGTAAGTTTAGACCGAAGAATGGGGGTCGGTGGGCGGGTAAGGATCTGACAGGCCCGGGGGCCGCAGGATGGCATGGATTCTCCCCCTTTCCTCAGCGTTGCTGCCGCTGTAGCTGCAACGCTTGGGCGTGCAGGCTCACTTGCCCTTACTCTGGGGCAGAGAGGAGACGACTCCTAATCTACTTGCCTAAAAGAAGCCTGCCCTTCTCCTGAGGGCAGAGACTCGAAGATTTACTCAAAGCTAGGATCAGATTTGGCTTATGAGAATGAAGGAAATGAAGGCCTCTCCCGGACAGAGAAGCCCTTTCCGTTAGGAAATATGCTGTTACATCTCGGTTCCTGTAAGAGAAAAGGTCTCTCACCTTGGTGTCCGCACCCCGTTTGCTTCCGTTTGTCAGCCCTGTTTCTCTTAAAAACCTTGACACATGTACGACCCCAGTTTTGGTCATGCCCAGTTTGTTGTCGTGTTATGATGAAAAATACACACTCTACCTCGAAGTACATAATTATTTTTATAAATTTTCTAATGTTCTTAAAGGCTAAATTGGCTAGGTGTGTCCGACTGACTTTTAAGCGCCCATATTAGCTTTTAAATGGGGATGAGGAAAGGAGATATAAAAACTCTGTTATTCAAAGACTCCGTTTAAAAAAAAAAAAACACGCAAAAACTGAACTATTTGACGACACTCCGCCATGGCTCACGCTTGCAATCCTAGTACTCTGAGAGAACTCAATGGGAGGATCCATTAAGCCTCGGGAGTTCTAGACCAGCCTGAGCAAAGACTGAGATCCTATCTCTACAAAAAAGAGAAAAAGTAGTTGGGCATTGTGAGGGGCACCTGTAGTGCAGACTAGTCGGGAGGCTGAGGCAGAAGAATTGCTTGAACCCAGGAGTCTGAGATTGCTGTGAGCTAGGCTGACTCCATGGCCTTCTAGTCTGAGAAATAGAGTGAGACTATCGCAAAACAAACAAACAAAAAACCCCAGTTATTTGAAATACTTTGCATTAAGCATTGACTCTATAAAAATTAACATTCAGACTTGTGAGCTTCAAACGTTTTTAAAGGAGTGGAACAATAGATAAAGCTGCCTGCTTTGAGGGTACTGAATTTAAGAGGGCTTAGCCCCACCCACTCAGCCTTCCCTTTATCTTAGAGGCATGTCCTTGGAACACAGTTTGATCTGGACTTTAAATTAAACCAAAATTGCCAGCACTAGGTTCTTTAAAAACCAAAGCCAAAGCAGTTGAGATAGTAAGAGGGGAGGCTTACTTGAGGCCAGGGGTTTGAGATCAGTCTGGGCAACATAATGAGACCTTGTCTCTACAAAAATGAATGTAAAAATCTGCTGAGCTGGTGGTGCATGCCTTTAGTCCCTGCTACTCTGGAGACAGATGGAGGCAAGATGATGTGACCTCAGGCTTTGGAGGCTGCAGATGGCGCCCCTGCACTTTGGCCTGGGCAGCACAGGGAGGCCCTGTCTCTTAAAAAAAAAAAAAACCAGTAGAGAAGCAAGTCAGTTGTGAATGCTTCCTGTGTTACTTCCCTTAAGGCTTGTATCTTCTCCCTGCTGGGACCAAATGTCTTTCCATCTTATATCATGCTTCTTTGTGCTATTTTTTTCCCTACTAGCAGAATGTTGTCTGGTGTACCTTGAACTTTCCTAGTATTTTGGCCACCATTTCTACCTTATGTATACTGTTAATGGTGTTTTTCCCTTTCTCTTTCTGCCTTTGGCAGGCTTTGATCCAATAGTTGTCTTTCCCCACTTTCACTACCAACTGATTACTCTTTGAGTTTTGGTAATAAACTCTTGTCAGCACACAGTATTTATTAGTGGATAAAAATTTTCCTAGATCATGCTTCTCTGTGTCGCATTTTCCTTCTGTCTTCTCCCTGCACTGCTGTAAAGTGAAAAAACACTCAGTCCTGTATTGCCGCATCATTTCTTCTCTTTAATATCTTAAAACAACAGTTTTTAGTCACTACTTACTTTTAAAGTCTTATTCCTTCTAATGCTTTATTGTCAAAACGTTTGGGGATTGTTTAATGGCAACTAGCATTTCAAATCTCCCTTTTTTTTTTTTTTTTTTTGAGACAGAGCCTCAAGCTGAGCCCCTGGGTAGAGTGCCATGGC